GGCCCGCCGCCCCGCTTTCCCGCTGCCCCCGGGGCGGGGTGGGCTGAGGGAGGTCGCAGCCATTAACGAGCTCGTTAAGTGCTGAGCCAGGAATCCACCTGCAGCTGCGTTGCTTTGTTTGTTTGTTTTCCCTGACAATATTCCATTCAAGCAAACCATCAGCCAAGCTGAGCAGCCCCTTTGCTATTGTCAGGACCGCAGAGGCAAGGCTTGCACCCTTGCACATCTGCTGGGGTTTACATACTCAGAATCACAGAATCGTTAAGGCTGCAGAAGACCTCTAAGCTCATCAAGTCCAACCGTCACCCCAACACCCCCATGCCTGCTAAACCATGTCCCCGAGTGCCACATCCACAGGCTTTGTGAACCCCTCCAGGTGTAACAGACTAGAAGATGATTCCTGTCAAGTGCACATACTGTGCAACTGTGGAAACTAGCATAATGTGAAATAACAAAACCACGTACGGCATGGAACAATAGAGAGGATATCTGTGGGTTTGAGACTGGGCTAACGTATATCGCTTATGCAAGACAAAAACCAAGCGCGCACGCGCTCATAGGAAAAGGACATGAGATGGTGGGTGTCACTCTCCATGAGATGGAGGGTGGGTGTCAGGAGGACTGGGTCAAATTCTTTCCAGTGGTGCCCAGCGACAGGACAAGGGGCACTGGGCACAAACTGAAGCAGAGGAAGCTCCAGCTGAACATGAGGAAGAACTTCTTCCCTCTGAGGGTGATGGAGCCCTGGCCCAGGCTGCCCAGGGAGGCTTGGAGTCTCCTTCTCTGGAGATACTCAAGCCCCGCCTGGACACGGTCCTGTGCAGCCTGCTCTGGGTGACCCTGCTTTGGCAGGGGGCTTGGACTAGATGACCCACAGAGGTCCCTGCCGACCCCTACCATTCTATGATTCTGTGACGTTTAGAGGACACCGAGGAAGAAGAGACTCTTCATCCCCAAGACCACCAGAGGAACTATAAAGACACCAACATCATAAGACATGGATGGCATGAAGGAGACCAGGAGGG